ACAGCGTGGCTGGCAAGAAAGGGTATAAAAAAGAAAATCTAATGACATGGCCTCCTTGTTCACCTGATCTGAACCCCATTGAGAACCTGTGGTCCATCATCAAATGTGAGATTTACAAGGAGGGAAAACAGTACACCTCTCTGAACAGTGTCTGGGAGGCTGTGGTTGCTGCTGCACGCAATGTTGATGGTGAACAGATCAAAACACTGACAGAATCCATGGATGGCAGGCTTTTGAGTGTCCTTGCAAAGAAAGGTGGCTATATTGGTCACTGATTTGTTTTTGTTTTGTTTTTGAATGTCAGAAATGTATATTTGTGAATGCTGAGATGTTATATTGGTTTCACTGGTAATAATAAATAATTGAAATGGGTATATATTTGTTTTTTGTTAAGTTGCCTAATAATTATGCACAGTAATAGTCACCTGCACACACAGATATCCCCCTAACATAGCTAAAACTAAAACAAACTAAAAACTACTTCCAAAAATATTCAGCTTTGATATTAATGAGTTTTTTGGGTTCATTGAGAACATGGTTGTTGTTCAATAATAAAATTAATCCTCAAAAATACAACTTGCCTAATAATTCTGCACTCCCTGTACATCAAGATCAAATAGGTTATGTCCCTGGCAGAAACTCTTATACAAGTATTAGGAAAATTGTTAACATCTTAGATGATGCTAAAAGAAATAGGGTTCCAGTTTTGGCTCTGTCGATTGATGCTGAAAAAGCATTCGACAGAGTCAACTGGATCTATTTGGATGCGGTATTGTCGCATTACGGTCTTGATGGTTGGATTAAGAAAGCCATCATGGCCCTTTATGCAAATCCATCAGCACGTACTAAAGGACCAAATATTACTGCCCCATGGTTCCAACTGAAAAACGGCACACGACAGGGATGTCCACTTTCACCGTTATTATATTTGCTTTCTATTGAACCATTAGCTGAGAATATCAGAAACAATAAAAAAATCTATGGCTATAAAATACTAGATGTAGAACAGAAATTAAGTCTATATGCTGATGACATCTTAATTACCATAACAAAACCGGAAATTTCATTAGATTTTTTAATGTCAGAAATCGACAGTTACAGTAAAATATCTAATTATAAATTAAATATAAATAAATCTATGATTCTGGACATTAATTTGGATGAACAAACTAAAAATAAGATCAAGGATAGATATTTTTTTATGGGTCGAAAACAACATGGACTATTTGAGATTTAAACTGACTAGAGATGTAAATAGAATAATGGAAATAAACTTCTTGGATTTACTACAAAATCTCAACAAATGGCTGAAAAACCGAAGAAATTTAGAAATATCTTTCTGGGGAAGGATAAATGTAGTCAATTCATACGTCATTCCAAAATGGAACTATATGTTCCAAATGTTGCCATTACGTATTTCTAACCATTGGTTGGAATTAATACAGAAAAGTTTCACTCAGTATATTTGGAAAAGTAAAAAACCAAGATTGAGTCAGTCAACACTAACACAAAAACTGAACAGAGGAGGACTGGCCTATCCTCTAATATCAAATAACTACAGGGCAGCGGTAATTTTACATATATATAGGATGCAAGTAGAAGAAAATAAAAATGAAAGTTGGTATAAAACAGAACTTATTGCAGGAGGAGTTCCCAGCTTGGATTGTTTAATTTGGAATACCACCAAATTTTTTCAAAAAAAAGATTATCCCAACATAACGTTAACACATTTAATGAATAGTTGGCTTAAAATTAAAAAGACCCTAAAAATAGAAAACAAAATTCCAACATATTCAAAATTAGATCTTGTAGAATAACAAGTTGCAGATATAAATCTAAAAAGCTGGAATCAAGCAGGAATTTTGCGACTGTCTCAACTACTTGTAAAAGATAAAATTAAAACTTTTGCTCAATTAACACAGGAATATAACTTACCATCAAAAGAGTTGTTTAATTATTTAAGACTTAAAAGTTTTTTGACGTCACATCTAATAGTATCAAACACTAATTTGAATAATGTGTTAAATATACTTTTCAATACAGACAAGATAAACAAACTACTCTCAAAAGCTTTGGTATTAAGCAAAATGTGCAATAAAGTAAAAACTCCAACAGCTATAACTGCCTGGAAAGAAGAATTAAATATGGATATAAATATCAGGCATTGGGGTTCCTCATTGATAGAAGTTTCGAAGTACATACACTCGCTAAATTTATTAGAAACTCATTTTAAAGTCCTAAATAGATGGTACTTAGTACCAGACAAACTGAACAAAATGTACTCTTCAGCAAACCATCTATGCTGGAGATGTGGCATAAATACAGGCACTTTTAAGCATATTTGGTGGGAGTGTAGTAAATTGAACAATTTGTGGTTTAATATTCAAAAGTTTGTCTCCGTAGATTTGAACCTTGAGTTGAGGCTCTCTCCGGAGATTGTCCTGCTCCATTTAAACTGGCCGGCAATGACAAATGATTCGAAAATTATTCTTATCCATCTTTTTTTAGCAGCAAAAATTGTGATTGCGAGAAGATGGAAAAATGATAGAGAAGTGTTATTGAGCAAACAAAAATTAAGTAGGAAAACAACAATTTGGATGAAATGTTGGGAGAAGATTGATAGTTTTTTTTTTGTTGTTTTTTTCTCCTACCTAAATTTAAAGTGAACACTGAGGCTGACTGTTAATGCTTTGGACAGTATAATATAATATATAATATAAGAGACAAAACATATTTTTACTCGATGAGTTTCTTCCCTTCTCGCTTGCTGCACTGTCTTGTTTATGTAGATGTGTAAGTCTAAAGTATTGTTTGTTCTTGGTTAATTGAAATGTATAAAGAAACATCTTATGGATGAATATCTTAAATAGGAAAATTGTTTCTTTACCATTTGTACGTAACTGCTGTATTGTATTGTCTTTTTTATGAAAGAAAAAAAAAAAAGGGGGAAACCCTTTAAATAAATATTATATTAAAAAAAAAATATATATATATATTTTTGTTCTGAGTGTGAGAAATGCTTTTCAGCCGCTTCTAATCTTAAGCATCATTTGAGGAGCCATACAGGAGAGAAACCTTATTTTTGTTCTGATTGTGGGAAATATTTATCTCAAAGAGGCCACTTTTATATTCAATCTATAACGGTGAAAAAAGTTTTTTGGTTTTAAATGCAAGCTATTGTGACACCAGTGAGTGAGTGGTGGCACTGGGCACAGTATCCACTGTGAGCCTGACACACCCGCTTTGAGACAACTAACTGCTATTCAATCTATAACAGTGAAAAAAGTTTTTTGGTTTTAAATGCACGCTATTGTGACACCAGATATGAGTGGCAAAGTACACTGGCAGAGGTCTGCAGAGCACACGCTGAAGGAGGCCTGACACCTGCTTTAAGGACACTGACTGCTATTAGCTTACACTGGAAAACTTTTTTTTCTTTGTAAATGCACGCTACAGACACACCAGATATGAGTGGCAACTGTCAAAGTACGCTGGCACAGGTGTGCAGAGCACAGGCTGTAGGCCTGACACACACACTTGAAGGACACTGACTGCTATTAGCTTACACTGGAAACCTTTTTTTCTTTGTAAAAGCACGCTACAGAGACACCAGATATGAGTGGCAACTGTCAAAGTACACTGGCACAGGTGTGCAGAGCACAGGCTGTAGGCCTGACACACATGCTTGAAGGACACTGACTATTAGCTTACACTGGAAACCTTTTTATAAAGCAGACTGATGTTCTAGCCCTAAAAAGGGCTTTAGGGTGCTGTTCTTACAGCAGATATCAGATGAGTCCTTCAGGACTGTAGTGGACACTGAATACCCTAGCCTAGCTATCAATTTCCCTATCTAATCAGCAGCAGCTACCCTTTCCCTCCTCTCACTAAGCATGCAGCTTCAGAATGAATCTAAAATGGATGCTGGGAGCGTCTGCTAGGGAGGGTGTGCTGCTGATTGGCTGGAATGTGTCTGCTGACCGAGAGGCACAGGGTCAAAGTTTGCTCAATGATGACGAATAGGGGGCGGATCGAACCACCCATGTGTTCGCCCGCGGTGGCGAACGCGAACACGCTATGTTCGCCAGGATCTATTCGCTGGCGAACAGTTCGGTACATCACTAGTCTTCAGTTGATTGCTATATTTACATACGTCTTTTCTATATATAGTCTTGGGCCAAATGCTCGCCACAATAATATATGTCTATATTATTGAAAAGTACTAATACGCAATCTGACTTACGGTTTCTTTAGGTTTATTCTTGGTTACGGATACATAATAAAACAACATAGGATGTTACAGGATAATGGACATTCAACAGCAGATGGTAATTGCTGGACTTCTTTACATACTTACATCTTTACATCGAGAGAGCCAGCAAGAGCGAGCCAAGAGCTGTGTTCTTCTGTTACTATATAGATGTGCTCATACTAACGTCAGCGTTTAACTCTAGCCATATAAGGACAAGACCCCCAAATCCACATTCCAGAGCTCTCGGACAAAGAAAGCCTTGTGACTTATTGATACCATCTGTTACTTATGTCAATCCACACATCCATATATATAATCAATAGAAACATAGAATATGCAATATTCTACATGGGTATAGGCTGAACGTGTGAGATTAACCAAGGATACACACATACGGGCTATGTTTAGAGACAGTGGTTTTCACTCTGTGAACTTAAGGGAGTTAACTGTTGATATCGTGCCCCTAGGTATAGGAACAGGGCAGCTGGGGCATGTATGAGCTCAGTCTAGGCACCCTTCATGCACTGAACACATCTTTTCATGGTTAAATCATACAATGTTAGCATTTGCCCCTACCACTGAAAAACATGGCTAGAGAAGTGGAGGTTAAATAAAGCATACTACAGGGTATGTGCCTAATAAAATACCATAATAGAACTAATTAACTATTTAACAGTGCAATCCCTGCGTCTTGCTAAAGTTTGTGCATCCGCTCTTTGCCTGGGTCAGCCGACCCCCTGCTGGGTTGTTAGAGTCCCGCAGATGTACCAGGCGCTTGCCCGGTGGTATGTCCATTTGTGAGTTTAAGTCCATGCTGGTTGTGTGGGGCAGACTTGGAGGGTGCCGCTTGGGTCTTTTCGGTGTTACCCGGTCCCAGCGCTGGGTTGTGTCGCTCCACGAGGGCCCCCTCTGCTTGCCAGCTTGATGGGCTGGGTTGTGCAGGGTACGTGTTTTTGTCTTTGCGGTGCACTGTTCTTGGTAAGGTCAGTCTCTTGGGTATGTGTGCCCAAGGGATCTTGTTTTCGTCGCCATCGTCTGGCTCTGTCAGCGTGGGGGGTGGGTTGTGTTTGCGTTGGGAGTGTGGCAGCAGTCCCTCGGGTGAGAGTTTAGTCAGTCTCCGTACCTCCTTTTGTTGCTCCTTCTCTGCCATTCGCCTCCAGAACGCGGCTAGTATGGAATCTAGCTTGGACATGAGTTCTGGTGGTTCTGTTCCACGAGCGCACGTGGCGGCAGCCATGTTGCTGGGCCGCGCCTCGTCTCTCAACTCTCCCGCTTTTCCTTTGAGAGTCTCGACCCGCGTGTGTCCTCTTGGGGTCGGACCGGGATAACCCCCACCGGTCCGGGGAGGGGGAGCAGGGCATTCGTGGAGCTGTCTCTCTGGTTTGTTGACGGGGAGAGTCGTTACTACAAAAAAACTTTTAATTCGTAAGTAGTACCTAAGAAGTAAGTAGTCCTTATGTAACTGGTCCATTTATTCCAAAGTGGTTGAAAGCGGAGAACATGAAACCCCATCCAACCCTGTCAGATGCTTTCTCTGTGTCTATTGACAGAATTATTATTCCATTATATTTATTATTCTTATATTATTCTTCTTCTGAGATTAACTGAGGATCATACCCAGGCAGCTAACAAAGCGTAGTCAGGACAAGCCGAGGTCAGAAATCCAGGGAAATTAAGCAAACAAACTGCCCAAGTCCCATACAGAGTGATTCAGAAGTTCAGATCTGTATGGTAGACTTTGAAACAGTCTGTTATGCAGAGGGCAGGTAGAGATATGCAGGTTGGGCAATAATAACTGGAGTCCTTTCGGACTCCTTTCGTGTAGCAAACACGGCACTTTCTTTGGGGAGCTTTTTTACTGTGGTTGGGATTCGGGAAGGGAAGTGTTTGCCACAAAGTCTTTGGAGATCTCTTGATTCCAAAAATCGGGGTTGGGGGGCGGGGTAAATAACATACAAGACAAAAGGCTTAGCATGAATTTTAGGAAAGGGCAGGGCTTAATTATGACCTTTTTTCTTTTTTTTTTTTTTTATAGAGGACATAGGCATTGAAAATTTAAATCTGGCTCATGTAGATTGCAATTTTCTTGTAACCAGGTCCTAGTTTTACGGTTCACCAGATAGGGCTATATGCATTGGTCAGCCAAGTCTACTCCCCCCATAAACTTGCTGTAGTCTAAAATGCACTTCAGCTTTTCCAGATGCTCAGTGCTACTTCTCACAGACATTGGCACTATACTTTCGTTGTGCAGTGTAGACAGCATGTATTCATGCTGCCTATCTGTGAAGTGAAGGGCAAGCAACTCATCCTGGCAGAGAGCTGAAGAGGAACCTCTACTGCTTCTTCCTCTTGCCAGGGTTTGGGGGAAACCCCTGTGATTCTTCCTCATTGTGCCACAGGCTAGGGTTTCAAAACAACATAAATGTTTAATTGCATACTGGTATAATGTCAACCCATAGCCTATATTCCTTTATTTAACAAGGGAAAGATTAGATTCCAAACAATTTTGCCACTTGTACCCACAGAATCAGGGCATCCTGGTGGGTCAAGATTGCTATCCTTCCCCTTGTAAATGCGAAACGCCCATGTGTAACCAGTACAGGATTTGCATAATTTATCAAATTTAACACCATATCGGGACCGCTTAGATGGAATATGTTGCTTAAATAGCAGTCGACTCTTAAAATTTCATAAGGGACTCGTCAAATGAACTAACTTTATCAGGGACATAATTTTCAGAATATTTGTCTGACAGGAGTTGGATAAAGTTTTATAGAGCCTGTCAAACAGTGGGTCATTTCTAGGGGGACATAGTGAGTTATTAAAATGAAGTAATCTCAGCAGTTGCAGGTAGTGATCCCTCTGCATAACCTCAGGAAAAAGAGGGGTAGCCAGGATGCGTTGCTTGTTCCAGTAGGACCTGATACTGGGCTTTTTAACTATACCCATCGATAGGGTTAAAGCCCAAAACCGCTTCATCTCTTCGACATCCGTGGGTCTCCACATATTCCTGTAACTATGATGGGAACCGGGATGTGCAGAGAGATACTACATTTGTTTGCTGAGCCATGAGCTCAAATACATTGTCCCACATAAAGAGCTCAAAAAAACTAATTGACTCGCAGTCATCCACTGTTAGTGATGCCAGGTGTAACAGAGAACGGCGGTATTTCTGGAGGCACCCAGTCTCCATCCGGCATTCTGTGCGTCCTCGTGAGTGGTGGTGGGGCACTATCACTTGAGGTCTCAGAGGCTCAATGTCAGAGGCAGTGATAGTGTCACTGTCTTGCAGAGTGTCATTGTCAGTGCCTGCCAGAATGGCGTACGCCTCCTCGGCTGAGTAGCGACGTGCCATTCTAGGGGGACAAATTTAGTGATATACTAAGGGGGTAATTATCTACCTGCGTAACACCCACTACCCACCATCAAAAACGCACGAAAAATAAAATGTCCTGATCACAGTATAGGCAGCTGCGATCAATACTGAAAAAAAACCTAAAAAAAGTCAGCCTGATCAGAGAGCCCTCTGATCACAGTGATCACTGATACAGTATTGTACTGCAGATATACTGTACAGTATAGTGATCACGGCAGTGGGGAAAGGGTTAACGGAGATTTGGGTTGCCTTGACTGACACAAAGGGTAAAAAAAAAATTAAAACAAATTTGTTTTTACCCCCTCCCCCTAAAAAAAATTAATATAGTACAAAAGTACTAAATCCCCTAATCAGGCTGATGACAGTAATATGCTGTGATCATCAATGTAAGGGTTAAATAAAATAATAATAAAAAAAACCTTTTTAAAGTATTAAAAACCTTTTTATCACAGGAGCTGCTAAGCAAACTATCTGCCTCTCTCTCAGATCGAAGTGAGGTGAGGAGCGGGGCAGAGACAATGTATCAGCCAGTGATTTGAGATCATTGGCTGACACATAGTAAGTGATCACAGTGACTGGCTGTCACTGTGATCACATGCTGCAGGTCGCAGTAATTGGCCACGGGGGTAGTGCCTGGGTGGTACAGGCATACCCACCACCGCGATCTGCAGAGGGGATAAGGGAGGCAGTTTCATGCGTCAGCCTGTCACTGCTATCAGACTATGCAGATCACGGTCACTAACCACAGGGGGACTGACTGGGTGGCCAGGCATGTCCCCCGACCGCGATCTGCAGTGGGCGAATGGCACCGGCCACATGGGCGGCAAGAATGGCTGGGACGTCCTATGCCGCCGGCGTTTAAAACCAGCCCCTTAAGGAAGGCATAAAACGCCCGCCGTCTTAAACGTGAAGTTAATATTCATCATAAAAGTATAGGAGAGGAATGAAAATGGTGACCTGATTTGTGGACAAATCGTAGAAGATTGGAAAACCATAATAAGGGTGGGATTCATTTTGTCTGTCCTACTGAACTCTGCTAAATTTTCTACAAACCTGAACCTCTCAATGCATTAGAAATATAACTGTAGTGATGTAGTAATTAAACTTAATTATTACAAAAACGCAGTACTGTTTCCTCACCTTGTATTTTTTTGTGTTTATGTGGCTATAGCTTGATGACTAAATCTGTGTGGATTTTGAGTATGAAAACCATTTTGCCTGACAAATCTGTCATGCAGTATGTGATATAACTATTCTTTATCCTAGAGTAGGACACAAGATATTTAAAGTTGTGTATGAGTTACATCTTGAGGTCCTCACTGCACGGATTGTTCTCGTCTGAAGGAACTCCTTGGAAAACCATAAAATAACATTTACTATTTGTAACAATCAACATTTACTAAGAAGGGCTTTTACTATGGTCCAAAAATGTTTACCATCAATATCAAAACTCCACAGCTACTGCAATCCTACTTGTTGCTGTGATCCATTATCCATGTTTTCTTTGGGGCTCCCTGGTCTTCAAGTGAGTTCATCCTCAAGAAGAACCTAGAAAAAAACCTAAACACACGTTTGTAAGAGTTTCCAGTCTTGGTATCTCTATTGCTCGATCTATCTATCTAAAAGGTCAATTTTATATCCTTTAAAAAAAAATCCTGTTTCATTTCCAACATTTCTGTTGCACATACCTCTGGTTCAGAGCAATTCCTTTTTAGTCTTCTAAACTGGCCAAAGGGTGTGTTATTCAGCAATTGTTTTTTTGTGATGGCTGCTTGCCAGAATAAAACTATGGTCTGCGACCTGTTTCCTAAATGTTTTAGTAGGAATCTTCCCTTCCTTTATGCAAATCTCAAATTAAAGAAATTAAATACTTTTTTGTTAGACTGATCAAAAGTGAACCGAAGATTGTAGGGATTAAAGTTCAAAAAATTGGGCAGTGGGGCCTGGGCATCATGGCAGCTGGCTGTTTTTTAGAGCGGGCTTCCAGCCTGATTCTCATGTTTTGCCATGCCAACTTCTCGACAGGAGGTTTTTGCCAACGCCTACCTCCTTGACAGACTTTTCTGATACCTATATTGCAGTTTTCCGTTTTTAGTATAGCCAGGTACACCTAGCTTGTTTATATCTTTACTTTTATTCTGAAACTTATAAAAATGAGGTATGTCTATCCAAGGTTTATTTATGAGCGATGTATGCTTCTCTTTAATGCCTTATTATATTGATTTGTAACTTGTTGCATTTACCTCAATAAAAAGATAGACAATAAAAAAAAAATTATGACTTGCAGGTCATGGGGCCCTTTCCAAATAAAAATAGTCGACTAGATTTACGGCAAACGTACAATTGTCCCAAATGAACTCATCCTCCGATTTCCCCATAAAGAGATAAGCCTAGCTTGGTGCAAATCTAGTCATCATGGCATTCCCTTCTACTTGCAGATAAAACTGCCCTTTACTCCAAAAGTAATTATGGACCAGGATAAAAGCCCCACAATTACCCAAAAAGTAATCTTGTAATTTCTTCAGAATGTGTGGCTAGAGAGTACTGAAAAGCATCACACCCCTGTAGATGTTCTATTACTGTATACAAGGATGTGATGTCAGCCATAGTTAAACAATCTTCCCATTGTATTTGGGAGAGGGTATTTTGTAATTTTAGTAGTATCAAGAAGATATGATTTTAATTTCTGTACTTATTTTTCAGAGTAACCCCATCTGAATTAGACAATTTAACCACCTTGCCACACATCTCCTTGATGTAAGGGCCCTAAGAAGTCAGGCTCCATCCTTCCTCCTTTTCGAACATGCTTCCTCATGTTATAAAGCAGGACCTCATCGCCAACACTTTACATTAACTCTTGT